ACTCCGGGGGTTATAATCTACATAAAAATAGCTTCAAAATAAGGTATCACTCGACCCCTCATTGCATTTGAAATTTTGGGGGCCCTTGTCACCCCCGCTAGGGCTTTGCCGCCCAGGGGGTGAAAATGGTTCCCCCTTAAATCAAAAATCGACGGGTACGAAGGTTTTTTCCTAAATCTCTTGGGGAGCCTAAAATCACCTCTGTTTCGTTTTCAATTGGCTACCCTGTATATATATTTTTCATTGGGCAATTTATAAAGTAGATACTTTAGAAGTCTGCTAAAAAGACATGATAAAGTTTTACAATTTTTTTCTTAGCCTGACTTAGTTGGAACTGCTTTTAAAACTTTTCTTGGTGAATTTGAATAATCTTCTTTTCAAAAAGCTGCTTTATAAAGAGATAAATTGTATTTAAAATCTGGTTACTATAAGTGCTAAATACACATAATCCAGTCTGGTGGATTACCGATAAAATATTATTCTTCCCAGTCAGCTTATTTAACCCTTTCTGATAAAATAAAATCGCCATTTTGAACGTGCCTAATTCGATGTTTGTTTTGTATAAAACGAGGTCAGCATCATATCTATATTGGTCAAGGGTACGGGAAAACATTTATGCAAAATTTTCTGTTTGCCAACAGGAAATTGATCTGATATTATATAGTTGAAATTTGAGAAAATCCCAGATGATAAATAAAAACACGGGAGTCTATTGAAAATGTAAAATTCAATTCCGAATTTAAATTTGATCATGTTGTTAGAGGAAAATAACCGTTCCGGCGACTCTAATTGCATCCCATTTTTATATGAAACTGAATCCAATTTGTTCGCGAATGAAGGATCCCAGAGCGGCAACTTTTTAAAAGTAGAGCACAGGGCGTAGTTTAAATTATAGCGCTCGGAGAAAGGTTTTAATTTACTCAACATAAGTAACTAAACTCTATTAATTTAAATAATTAAACTTCATGATACTCTATAAATTAATCAATTACTAGAATTTCGGCAGTTGCAAAGGACTAGAGTTTAAAACTAATTTTAATTAAACCGATCTGGCATGTAGTGGATTAGCGTTAAATCGATTAGGTAAATATTCATCTTAGGGGCGGTTTAAATTTGATTTAATTAAATGTATTTCCAATTTTATATACTTTATAAGTTTCAAGCTCACTTTTGCACGAATTTGTGGAAAAATTGTATAGAATTTATACTTGCCACCCTGTATAATACAGCAAAGCTTAACTAATCAAACTCCGTGAAATAAATCAACCCCGAATCTAAAATACGTATAAACCGGATTTAGGATTTAAAATATAAATAAAACTTTCAAAACTAATTAAAACTCATTTTGACACGTAACCTGGGCCGTGCGCGGTAAAGTTTCACCTAGTTCAGCTGCTGACCTTTTACAAAACCATTAATTTTCTGTTTAACGTGAGCAAATACTACTTACTTTTGTCACAGTTTTATTTTTAAATTAAAAGAAGTGGCCACCTTTGGACAAACAGGATGGAAACTTTAATTTCTGGATCATATTAATTTCTAAAACTAATAAAACTTCAGTTAATTAGCGAGGGTCCGAGAGGGTTTTGAAAACAGGGAATGCGGGAATTAGGAGGCATTATTTGCACCTGACTGGAGAAATTTTCTAGTTTAATTGAAATTAGAAATTCTCAAATGCTCCTGTCTCAATCCTCTTCAAAATTTGGTATTTTGTAGCGCAAAGTATACTGAATTTATTAAAAAGTTATAGTGATATCAATTTTGGAAAATCAAATCAGATGCATGTAGAAGCTTTGTAGGAGTAGAAGGCATCATGGAAATTCTTAAATTTACAAAATTCACAAATCTACTATTTTTCGCTAACCCCTTTTGTTAATAAATTAACAAGAGGCTCATAATATACTCAGTTTGCTCAGCGAATAATTATTAGGTGGTATGGGTCAATGGTTAAATAAGTACACAGAATAGCAAGGGTGCCACTGAATTCGAAAAAAAAATATGAAATTACATAATATATTGAAGTGTGAAAATTCAGAAACACATAAAAAAAAAATCAGCAAACGGTAATTGATAATTCTGAAAAAGAAATAAATGAGGCATACAACTCAACCAAATCTTGACATAGGTAAACCAATAAAACAATCAAGCAAGTTTCAAATTAAATTAGTGTATATTTTCACAGTGAGGTTAAAAATCAAGCCTCAAGCAGAGCTGGGCAGTATTTGCAATTCTAAATACTTTTTAGTATTTAAATACTTTAAAGTATTTAAATACCTAGTATTTAAATACTTTTCTAAAACTGGTAGTTGTATTTATGAATCCAAATACTTTTTGAAATATTTGGTATTTAAATACTTTGAAGTATTTCAAATACTTTCAAAAGTTGTTAAATACTTTCAAGTATTTAATTACTATCAAAATTATTTAAATACTTTCGAAAGTATTTAAATACTTTTTCTTCTGCAAAAAATATACAGATGAACAAGATTGATTAGTAGGAATTTATTGTTTTCGCTAGACCTTGGCAATTACCTTGTGTTTAATGGTGGGAATGAATCTATGCCCTTCAACACTTCGTTATGAAAAATATCGTTCGTCACTCGTGCGAATGGACGCCTTTCTTTTTTAAACTCGCCTTTGCCGATGGCTCCTTCTGCTACGAATTACGACTCATTCCAAAATCATTGCCCTCGTTTGAAAAAGGCCATCTGCCCGTCTATTCACACTAGTGACGAAATGTACTATTTGAAGTTTTTGAATAAGGTATTTGCCTAATAAAAGTATTTAAATACCTTTTAAAGTATTCAAATACTTTTTAAAGTATTTAAATACTTTTTAAAGTACTTAAATACTTAAAAAGTATTTAAATACTTAAATAAGTATTTAAATACTTTTTGTATTTAGTATTTATTTCTTTTCAAGTCAAATAGTATTTAGTATTTAAATACTTTCAGTCTTTATTAGGTATTTAGTATTTAGTATTTAAATACTTTTTGAAAGTATTTTGCCCAGCTCTGGCCTCAAGTTTCAAAAGATAAAATCAATTGTTGGTGGAACAGTTTAAATAAAATTAATAAATGGAGGTTATTCCTCAATCAGATTCATCAAACTCCAAGAAAATAATATTACAATGTACATCAATATAGTTGCCATATAAGTTCATTAATAGTCGCTGGCCATATTATTAACTTAAACAAGAAATGAAAACATGGAGCATTAAGTTTCCAGAAAATTCATTTAAAAAAATTAATTCTTGTATTGATTGATATTAATATTGATGATTTTGTATTGATAACAGCTTCTGCCTAATGAATAAATTCAGTAAAATAAAATTGAATCTCTTAGGTTAGGTTAAATGGTCAAGGTATAAGGGAAATATAATAGAAATTCACAAATATATAAGTTTAGAACCCAGGTGAAAAACTGATCAAGTTTTGACGATGTAGGTACTTATATACTCAATTATTTCAAATTAAGAACATATTGTTCAACCTTGACTTCAGTGATTAATAAAATCCATATTCTTTAAACATGGCAGTACTAAAAGTTAAGTGGAGATAAATCCATAATAAATTCGATAAAACAGAAATAATTATTTAAAGGTCACTTCGGTGTCAAGAATGTGAAATTGTAATTTTAAATATCCGAATGTAAGTCATATCAAAAAAAAAATCAATTAATTTTAACAGAAATGAAAAACGACTTGGTCTATTCTCACAATCCTTTATGTATTTGGCTACTAGTTTCGGGGTCAATCAGTTATACCCCCTTATCAGGCCGCCTAAGGATACAAAGGTTTCAGGGCATACAAAAGGAAAACACGATACATCTAAATCAATTGAAATACGTAATAAAAGGTCCCAAATTGTCAGTGGTTCTATGTTGTTCAATTTTTAATTTTCAAGGTTGAAAATCGCTATGCCCATGCTATGCTTCACGAAAATGGTGATCGTTAGAAATGTGAGCTTCTGTGAACGGTTTTCTCGAAAGGAACGGCTCCTCGGAAAACCCTAAGTAATAGAGGCATTCCATGAACAACCTTTACTTAAAAAAATAAATAAAAAGGACTTACCACGCAACTTTATTTCGTTAAAATAGTGCGATTGCCGATAAGGTACTTTTTTCCACGAGAACGGTAATCACACTTGGGGAAGATGGCTGCCCCCAGGCCAGGCTTAACCTTCCAGGTCGAAAGTCAAAATTTGAAAGAGACGAAGAAAAGGACAAGCTGAACAAGCAGAGCTTTCCTTCAAAAAGTAGCTGACGGAAAGTGTTGTTACCAAACTGGTACTTCAAAAAAGGAAAAACGTGCCCTCTAGGTTAATAATTGCTTTATTATTGGTGACAGAAATCTTCTTTCATTAATGGCAGTCATCAGAATGTCAGCATTCAAGGCGATAATTTAATTTATAAAATAATATATGAAAGAAAAAGGAACAGTGCCACATGCTACATTTTCTTGAAAATTAGGTATTTTATTGCTCAAACTATTCAGAATTAATTTAAAAAAAAACGAATTATTCCGAGTGACAGCGATTTTGGAAAATAAACTCAGAATCATATAGAAGCTCTGCAGGAGTAGAAGGCATCATGAAAATTCTTCAATTTGCAAAATTTCCAAATTTTCTATTTCTGGCTCAATCCTCTTGAAATTTGGGTATTTTGTAGCCCAAACTATCCAGAATTCATTAAACAAAAACGAATTATTCCAAGTGACAACAATTTTGGAAAATCAAATCAGATTCATATTGATCATCATGTAAATTCTTGCAAAACTCCCAAATTAACTGTTTCTGTCTCAATCCTCTCAAAAATTATGTATTTTGTAACCCAATTCTATCGAAAACTTTAGGTAGTTTCAAAATAGTTTCAGCCCTTATTCGCACATAAATCCATTTGGAATTATATTATTTATTTTCGCCGCTCTGGAACCTCGATTCAATAATATATTATTTGGCAAAGGTCAAAAGGGTATTCGGAATGTAAGTTAATCTACTTACCTATCTATAGAAATGGCAACTAAATTGAATATCGAAGACGTTGAGCAAGTTACATCCATCGCTATGTAAAAGTCACAGACGACGCCTGGCAAAGCCCATGTTCCGTTCACCTGGAAAAAAAGGAAGTAGGTTAATTTTCTAAACTTTGGAATAATTAAATCGTTCGGTCTAATAAATTACTTGCGGTCGGTGAAACTTGATTAAATTTTAATTTTGAGACTGAGAAAGTTAAGCCCAAACTAATTCTCACCTCTCGTTTCACGAAGATGAATTTACTGCAGATAATATCATATAACCGTGATTTTTTCCAAACAAACAACGTTTACTTAAAAACGAAAACACGATAATTTCTTTTTGTGTAAAAGTTTTTCTCGTTAAAAGTTCTTCTTTGTTTGATTGACTTTTCCGCTTGGAGTCACGCAACGAATATAAAATAAAAATATTCGCCCAGCTTAATCCCTTCATGTTGACATTCAAAATAAATCTCACCTTCACTTTCAGGTGATTGTCCTAAAATCTTGAAACAATTTCGTATTAATACGCACGGTCCCAAGCTCGTTCTTATTTATTTATACACCCCTTAATATGGCTTGACCTTTTGGGATTATTTGGACCTTTATTGTTCATTTATTCAAGTGAAATTCAATTTGAGGGACTGGTACATTAGGAACTGTAAAAACAGGCTGTGAAGTAGCAGTTTTAATGCCTAAAATATTGCACACTAAAACCAACATAAATATTTGCATTTGAAATTACAGAAAACGATAAATGATTATAGTAAAATATATCTTTGTCCGATTAGGATATGTATTCACATTTAATTTAATTATAACATGAAGTAATAGCACCTCCAAAATGCCATTGATGCGATGGTCATTGCCGCAGCAAGACATCAGACGTGGAGTCGACAACACCACCTGCCATCTGCAAACGGATACACAATTATCGCCTCTCCTAGGAAACTATGTGGACTCACAGGGATTTCACGCCCAAGCGTATGCAGACTGACATTAATTTACATTATTATTAATATGGGATGGGATACTGATGGGAAGAATTTAGTTGCTAATGAGAAATTACAATTAGAGCATTTGCTACATTCACATGCATCAGTATTCGAAAACGGCAAGGAACTGACAACATACACTGATTATACCATTCAGTTGACTAATGAAAATCCTATTTTTCAACCACCATATCACATTGTACGTGCACAAAAGGATATTTTGAAAAAGTTATTCGATGAACTCCTTGAAGATGGGATCATTGAAGAATGTGAACCGCCCTATGCAGTTGTTTTGGTCCCAAAACCTGATGGAAACATGCGACTGTGTGTTGATTATAGACGATTGCTATTGTATATTTTGTAATACTGTTCCAATACAATAGAGTAGATGAGTTACTTTATTCGACTGCTAAGGCTGCCTACATTACAACTATTGACTTGAAAAGTGGTTACCGCATCAGATACCAGTGAAGAAGGAAGACCGAGATAAGACTTCTTTTATTACTTGTTTTGGTACTTTCCGATATAATGCTATGCCTTTTGTATTGAGAACAGCACCCGCAACCTTTCAAAGGCTCGTTAAAAGATTTCGCTCAGGACTACCACATGTAAGTATGTTGACTTATTAAGATGACTTGATAATTATATCATTTACCTTTGAAGACCACCTTAAAGATCTAAATGAGGTTTTCAAGAGGCTCAAATTAATAAAATTACATGTTAAACGTGGAAAATGTGTTTTTTTGCACCAATGAGGTAAACTATCTTGGCCATATGAGCAGCCAAGACGGATTCACTCCTTGTCCAGGCAAGATAGCTGCAATTATAAGCATACGTGCTCCTAACAATGTGAAACAAGTTTTGAGTTTCTTATACAAACCTGCTCCTGGTTTCGAAGATTTGTCCCTAACTTTGCGGATGTAGCTAGACCGTTAAGCCAATTGACTCGGAAGAAATCTACTTGGAATTGGGGACCTACTAAAGAAAAAGCGTTTAATGATCTAAAGTGTTTGTTAACCAGCGTACCCATTTTACGAAAGGCGGACCCTACAAAACCATTTATTATCAGAACGGATGCTAGTTCATATGCCCTTGGTGCTTTACTCCAGGAGAAGGGTCCAGAGGAAAGGCCAATTGATTATGCCAGTTGTTTATTGAATTTTGTCCAAAAGAACTACCATACGACAGAGCGGAAAGCCTTGGCTCTTGTATGGGCCTTTTCAAAATTCCGGGGATATATAGAATCCTCTGCAGTCATTGTAAAGAGTGTACGTTGGCTAATGTCGTTGAAATCCCCATCAGGAAGACTTGCTAGTTGGGCGGTGTCATTACAACCATACGATCTTCAAATTGAGTACGTTCCAGAAAAACGGAATGTTTTAGCAGATACACTATCTCGCCCAATTTGTCACGATAGTCGCCACGCTGATTTTCACGATATATGCTTTGTAACTGTTAACTTGCCCATCGATGACCTTCGAAAATGGAGGTTATGCAATGATGAATGGGAATGGACTTTTATATCGATATTCCCCTGATTATGATGGAGAAGAATCCCAACAGGTGAAACCAAAATGTTCAATTGAGAAAGTGATGAAAGAAAACCACGATTCGCCACTCGCAGGACGTTATGGGGTAGAACGAACCGTCCAGAAAATTGTTCCTCGGTATTATTGAACAGGAAAGCGCAAAAATATCACTGCATATGTAGCAAAATGCATTGAGTGTCAACGATACAAAGCTTCCACTTTGAAACCCTCAGGATTGCTTTGAAACTATTGCAATGGACCTTTTTGGTCCGCTTCGAGAAGCACCACCTGGAGAGAAATGGGTCTTTATTGTGGAAAACACCTCCACCAGATGAACTGAGATGTTTCCGCTTAAAGAAGCCACAGCTAAAACATATTCCAGGTGCCTCATTGATGAAATTGTGCTACATTTGGTACTTCAAGGAAAGTCATCAGCGATAACGGCGTACAATTCGTCAGTGATGTAATGTAGCATGTAGCCGAATCGCTTGGATTTAGCCAGAGTTTAATATCTGCCTATCATCTAGTTGCCAACCCAGTGGAACGTAAAACTAGAGACCAGAAGACTCAGCTCGCCATCCCAACAGCCAACGATCATACTAACTGGAAAGAAAAGTTACCTTCGGTGCGTTTTGCAATGAATACTACTGTGTGTCAAGCTACTGGATATTCTCCAGCTTATCTAACTTTTGGTAGAGAACTCCGGACGATGTACGTAGAGATTTTAAAGCTATCATCGAAAGCGACAACTTTATGCCTCAAATAACTCCATATCTACGAATAATTGTTGATACATCAATTCAAGCCAGAGAAAACCATGGAAGACAACAACAAGACATAAGGAAGAAATATGCTGATGATAAACGTCGTGATTCGACCTTTGAAGTATCAGATTTAGTGTTGGTGAATACAAATATTTCAAGTGAAGCTAAGTTAAGCGTATAAGATTTCTAAGATTGTAAGTCATACGTCTTATGAAATTATCTGTCCAGATAATCCATCTGTAGCCTTGGGTACCTATCACGTTTCTGCCTTGACCAAATATGTACCACCATCCCCTTCCAGAGCCAGTCCACCCGATTCGTCGACGAGGACGTCCAAAAAAACAAACTTCTTCAGATGCTGTCTTATTATCATCAGAACCAGAGGAGGATGCTGCACCTGCTGCTTCACCTATCGTGAGTGCGCCTGAACAGTTCGGAGTTCGTCATTCGTCACGAGTGCGTTGTCCTAATCCTCGGTTTTTCTAAAGACTGTTTACACCCTTCTTGCTTAATTTGTGTTGTATACCACACGGGACGTTAGTGTGATCCACAGGGGGAGAGTGTAGCAAGAACTTTTTGGTTAACCCGATTATATTGGATATTTCCGGTTGTGCCGTGCGATCACTCCCATTCCGGTCGTGCCTATTGACATTTCGGACAGTGTGAAAAACAGCTGTTGTTTGTATTATTATTATTATTCTTGCGCGTACAGTCTTGAGCAATAAAAATGGGGCACCCGATTTTTCCTATTGTAAAACGGGCTCACCAGCTACACCATCTGCAATGACCGGAATTGTCATATTTGAAAAAAAATCTGTTGTACAGAAAAGACTGATTTACCCAAAATAGCGAATTGTGATAGCGAAAAATGACAAGACCTGTTAGTCGGGTGTCCCACTTTTGCTCACGACTGTACAGGGTGGCCCAAATTCGAGCCTCATTATTGGGATCTCGGTAACCGTAAGAGATACGGGGTCGGTTAAATTATGGCAAACTTGCGCAATTTTATGACCAATAGAATGCGGTTTTGAAACTAGAAAGATTCCGAATACTTCCGGAGATATTCGGAAAAAACTGAAACTTTGAAAAATCGTTTTTATTTTTTCCCGGGCTTATTTGAAAAGCAATTTTAAAATAAATGTCACTTCATCATTGTCACTTTTTTTCCCTTAGAAGATGGTGCTACTAAATTTAAAATTCGACGTTTCGTCTTCAGGCGGCCATTCTCAACTTACCTACGTTTTTTACATACGAACCGAGATTTTTTATTTGCGATTTTATCATCTTTGGGACTTCAAATTTAAGACCGCCATCTTGTAGAGAAGAAAGAGTGACAATGGGAATGTGAAATAAGTTTTTCAAAATCTTTTTAAATGGAATCAGGAAACAGTTATTTTTATATAAACATTGTTCATGTTCAAAATAACTCAATTTTAGTGGCTGAAAAATCTGTATCATAATGAAGTTCATTATGGAATAGATTTTATTCGTTTAATAAGCGTATTATGAAACGTCAGTAGAAACATATAGATAAAAATGTTTTGTGACAAATATTACACTTAAGTAATCTCTAGGTTAAAGGATCACTTAGAAGGGAGCTAGATTATATGAAACTAATTTTAAAGAATATTGTCACGGCTTTGGATCGCCGGACAGAAATCTTGGGTTCGTTGTTCGTTTCGTTTATTCCAATTAACACAGCAATAATTTATTCCACTTAACAATACACTCTGACACTAATTACTTTAATAACAAACTCAACAATTAAACTCTTACAACTCGCAATAATCACTATTTAAATTGTATCACAG